AAAAGTTGTACTATTAATCAAAAAAAGTTATAATGTTAACCAAAAAAGTGGTATTCTTAACCAAAAAAATGGTACTGTTAGCCAAAAGAGTAGTAATCTTAACCAAAACAGTTCTAATATAACAAAAAAAGTTGTACTCTTAACAAAAAAAAATGTAATTTTACCAAAAAAATGAATGTTAATAAAAAATGTGTATTTATTTTTTTTTAAATATAAGGTTATTATAATTTCAACCTTAGTTTTAAACTAATAATTGATGATAATTTAAAATCTCATAAAGGATTCATAGGGATAAAAATAATTTTGTAACTCCATCTTCTTCTTTATCCTTCTTTTTGTCGTGTGAGTTTTTTTTTTATGAATTTACTATAATCTCAATTTTAGTTTTAATAAATGATGATGATGATTTTATAATTTCATAGGAATAAAAATAATTCTGCAATTCCATATTTTTCACGCTAAATAAATTATATCAGACATATCATATTTGTTACACCTTTGGTGTTAAATTAAAATAGGTAAAAAAAATTGGGCTATTGAAACTAATTACATAGTTCAAGGTATAATATGAAAAATATGATGAATAAATTGAAAAAATGTGATAATTTTGGGATATAAGTGAAATTTATTGGACAAGCTAAAATCTTTATCACTGAACAAGCTAAATTTATTGGACAATTCTGCAACTTCATCTTCTTTCTCCTTCTTCTTCGTCGTCTAATTTTTTTTTTTAAATAAATTTACTATAATCTCAATCTTAGTTTTAATAAATGACGATGATTTTATAATCTCATAGGATAAAAACAATTGTCTTACTCCATTGATCTTTCTCCTTCTTCTTCCTGTCGAGCTGTTTTTTTTTTTCAATAAAAAGACCATCATCTTTTTTTTTAATGAAAATATTATTTTTAAAAGATAAGTGGGTAGCCGATAAAAAGTAACAGACTTGATTAACGGTGAAAAATTTTTATCAATCATAAACTATTATTCCTTTTTTTTTTTTGGGTACCATACCCAAAAGCTGATACTACAGTCGGACAATCTCGCAGTGGTCCAGGTATTCATAAAAGTTGGTGGATTTGAATGACACAAAATGATACAAAGGATTGGTATCTCTGCATGATATTACAGACTGATAGTGACGCTAACGAAGCCTTACCAGAAAAGATGGGTAATAGGAATCTTTTGTCAGTGAAAAAATACTATTGTGATGAACAAAAAGACCACCACTTGCAGAAGAAGACCAAAAAAAAAATGTATCATACCTTTAAAATATAATTTTTATAGGCGTTTTTACAATTTTTAATACTATTTTATAAAAAAGAATTTACAACTTTTTAGGTCATATTACAATTTTTATGGTTCAAATTATAATTTTTATAGTTCATTTACAATTTTTGTGGATTACTCGGGTTCGATCCTAAAAATTTTGGGATCGATCTCAAGTGGCCCACAAATACCGTAAATAATCCTCAAATTTTATAAAAATCAATCACAAAACTTGTAAATGATATTAGGATATTAATTTTTTATTCCCCATAAGGTACTCCCCCCAGTTGCAAAGAATGTAAGACAAGCATGTCCCATTTCCTTTTACTAGTAACAGTGCCAGCCGAGGCAGGGCAGGAAAATGAAGGCGCTGATCCTTGTCATTTTGCTCTTGGTAGACTTTGAGACATTTATATTACTCCACGATAAATGTTCGTTAAAAACTAAATACAAAGTTATGTCAATTTACATCCGAACCATGTAATTTTATTTAATTTTAACTTGGATCCAATAAGAAGTGTATTTTTTTGTCAAAAACTAAATAGAGATTCGACTTTAAAACATAATAATATTTATTTATTGCGATTTATGTGGTCCCAGTTTTTTGTTTTCTATCCTAAATCGTCACCCATCATAAATAGTGGAGCCTAGTTTAGATCTCTCTAGTTGCATTGACACAAAAAGAAAACTACAAGAAGGGGAGTGACTTTTGTTTTTCTTTTGTCTAGTGGAAGATGGGAATTGATGGTGATTTTCATTTGAAAATTGCCCCACATACACACTACACCAAGTAATGGATTCCGGAAAATATGAGTAATATTCAAAAAGGCAAGAGAAATGAATACAATTTAGAGGTCAAATTTCAAATGTTGTGACGTGTTCAATTGTCCAATTGGCATTTGTTTAATTAGAGTCGAGAATTAGCCTCTTTAAGAAATGATAAAATTAGTTCCTAATAATTCGTACGGGATAGTCTAGCGGTGTGAGGTTAAACCTGCACAAACCGTATAATTAGACGTCAGGAGTTTGATCATCACTAATGTCTTTTGAGTTTAACTGATACCTATATAGTTTACAATTGATTACAGCTATTCAAAATTTAGTATCACAAGAATGAGTCCAAAATAGTCCAGCCTCAGGACAAAATTTCTGAAAAAAGCTAGACAGAATGAAAAGATTAGGAATCCAAAACAAGGGTAAGAAGTCAAAAACACGTGCAAGTGATTTTCGATATAGCACCCACATTTTTTTGTGGGCACAATAGTGTGGTCCATGTGAGGCGAAGTTCTCAACCGACCACTATAATGAGTCCTTAGAATAAGAAGCAAAAAAGTTAAAACATAAGGGTTCCACCACAATCTTCCTTAAATCATTTTATAGATCTTCGACAGTGTGCATTTGAATAGTATTAAATACAAATAATTTTATTATGATAGGACCAACATGTTTAACTCGTATTTATGAAGAAAATCTCGGGTTTTTTTTTTATTTTTGTGGGTGTTGCTATTTCTTGATATTGTTTGTAAGAACCCTTATAGGCTTAGGATTTTCTTAATTGATTTTGTTAATATCATGATCGGGTTGATTTTGAATTTATAGATGGTGTATGAGTGATGGATTTGATTGACAAGAATGAGACCTATTAATGGATTAACGACTTTCTCATGTTTGCGATAGTGGTTGTAAATTTTCGATATTCTTTGATTCTGTATGATTTTTTAGGTTTTTCTTGGTAACCATCACTCAAACTGTGGTTTGGGTCGGAATTTTGAGGACAAGCTTTTCCGCATTTACATGGTTTATCTTGATCTCGTCATGGCATCAGCAAAGCTCCCACTATACCGCTAGTTGTTTTTTTTTTTTTTGATCAGACTATACCACAAGTTCAATGACAGTGTTTATGAGTGGTCAAAGATTTAAAGAGCTGGTTCTTATCTTGGCACGCTAAGCCCTATATGTGGTGCCAATGCAACACCCAAAGATGCTTCCAGAGGTTGCCAATGCAATACAGAAGTCTTTTTACCAATTATCGAAGCGTTTACTTTTCCATTGGGGTCATCTCAATGTTAATGCATATCTATCAATTTACGGTTCACATTTTTGCAACAATATTATTTTGCGTAAAAAATAAAAAAAAATTCTTAAATTAAATATTAGTCTTACTTCACTCCTTATATTTTTACGGATTACACTTAACTCTCTCCGACTTATGAACACCCTATAAATCTAACAAAATCCGATTATTATAACGGCGCGGTAATTGCACGCACTAATTATGAACGTGTTATAAATTAAATATTTTTTTTCCTGAATTACCAATTTTATTTGCATCTTCCTGTCTCTTAGCTCTCTTTTTCTTTCCCTCTAGACCTACAACTATTTTTTTGGACTTGCTTTCTTCAATTTAAGGTTATTTTTAAAAGTAATGTTATTTAGACCTAAAAATATGATATAATTTGTTGACATAATGATGTGGTTTAATAAGATTCACTGCATCAACAACAAGTTCCAATGTTTGATAGGGCATATCGTTAATTCAAATGTCACAGTGAATTAGGTCAGATTTTTAAATCCCAATAGCATTGCTCTATTTTTAAACTCCTTCACCTCAAATTAGTTAGACTCAACCCCATTTTGAAGCTTTAACAAATTTTTCAAAATTTTGATTTTCAAGTTTTCAAATTCTAGTGAATTTCTTCACCACACACACACACCCCTCAGTTATAGCTCTCAAGCACTCCAATACACTGCACCACAATCCCATAACACAACTCAACCCTTAATTGATAAAGAAATGGCCACGTGCTATGTAACCCATTTGAAAATTCATAATCACTTTAAGCTTTAAATATAAATTCGAGTACATACGCAACATGAAACTTAAATTTAATCACACCAATAGAATCCTTATGGAAAAATATGTCTGACCATGTTGAGTTTATGTATTGTAAGCCTCTCAATTAAAAACCCAAACTTATTTCTCTCTCTCTCTCCCTCCCTCCTTCCCTGGGCTTCATTCTTGCCTTCTTCACAGCTTGTAGAGGAATTTGTGGGGTGTAATGATGAGATGCGACTATGGTAATAGAAGTGTGCTAGTTACATGTTTTGTTTTTTAAAGATAAAGCTCTACAATGATGAAATCACAAAAAAAATTGAATTACAATCAGAAATTAGTTTAGTTTTTTTGTATAAATTATTACATCGGTTAATAATTGCAGTTTGTTCATAAATTAAAGAAGATTATGTGAAACCCATAAAAATATAGGGGGTGAAGCAAGATCGAAACTTAGTTTAGAATTTTTTTTTTGTTTTTATCCTATTATTTTTAATTTGTGTCGTAGTCAAGTCTAATTATTTCGACCATATTCACGCTAATTAAAAAGTCATTCAATTCTAATGTACCTCTATCAATCATTTCACAGTACAACTTTGCATTGTTGGTGGTATTTCTTTAGTATGACACTTTCTCTTTCAGAAATTTGTCAAGAAAAAGGAAGAAATGGTAATTATTTTCCTACAAAACTAGTTAAACAACTTTTTTTTTGTCCACATAAGAAGAACAAGCCAAAAACTTAGGCAGCAATTTGCAAGAAGGGTCTCATTTTTATAAAGCAACCCATGTTGTTTTCACTTGTACCTAGGTCAAAACTTCACATCCAGAAGAAAAAGAAAAAGGTAACCCAACCGGGTTGATACGGGGGAGGTGTAAACTGATCTGTGCAAAAACGTGCATTCGAGATTAGTGTTGTATTTATGAATATAAAAGTCGGTACGATTAGAACGATTTTCGATTACGAAAATAGAAAGCGTATATGCATATACCATCTAATTATATAATATAACTGTAGTTGTCCTCTATAGACCAATATTGCAGGGAACTTCATCTCTCAATGTTATTACAAAAGAAAGAAAAAGGGTACACCAGTATACACAATATAATTGTACTAGACCTCCAATATTGCAAGAAACTTCAGTGTTTAATGTCACTTAGCTCCACATCAAACTCAGTTTTTTCTTCACTGATTTGCATTCTGCTCGTGTAATTGTACCTTTTGGCAACCACTAGAAAATATACAAAGTTCAGTACCCCCATCCCTGCTAATAAGTAGTAGAAATAATCAACTTTACCAGCATTAATATCATTAGTCAACCAGTCTGGATGATCATGAGTCCCTGTAACCTTATGCACAGTGGTCACAACAAAACTGCTCAAATAATTCGCCCCGGCCACGGTGACAAAGAACAGAGAATTAGCTACACTCCTCATGTTCTCAGGAAACTCTTTGTAGTAAAATTCAAGCTGTCCAATAATGTTGAATGCTTCAGCAAATCCCATGACTATGAGCTGTGGAGCTAACCACATCACTGATATGGGTGCAATTCCATCGGGTCGGCCCGCAGAAATAGCCGAGGCCCGTCTCATTTCCTCCATCAGCCCGGCAACAACCATTGACAGGATTGAGAATACTATACCGATTCCAATTCTTTGAAGGAGGGTAATCCCGCCTTCGATTTTAGTGATTTTTCGCAGGGATGGCACTAGTATTCGGTCGTAGAATGGGAGCCATGCCCCTACTGTGATCATTGAGATGACGACTAATGACCCGGCTGGGATTTGGAATTTCGGGCCGAGATGGCGGTCCATTTTCATTGCCTGTGAGATTGTGAATGTTCCTTGTTGTGCCATGGCAGTGAAGCAGATGATACCAGAGGCCCATATTGGGACTACTCTTACAAGGCATTTGACTTCTTCAATTAGTTGAATGCTGCATAGTCTCCATTTATTTTCAGGAGAACCATCAGGCTTAACTTCACCTTCTATCACTATAGCTGCTTTGTTTAAGATCCTGAATGAATCAAAAGAGATCATTTTCAAATTAGGATCAGTAAGAGAGACTAATAAAATATTACAACTTCGATTTCTCCCTATCATCCTTACGACTGAGTTCCAGAGGTAATGTTAATATGTTTTGTACCGTTCTACTTTTATTGGATGTCCGGAAACAATAAACATATGCAATTTTAACAACCATATTGTGTTATCAATTAAAAAGATAGTTATGTAGAGGAGGTTACTACTAATGTGGAGATTTTGGGAGTGTTCAATAATTCTAATGTGGAGATTTTATCAAAAATTCAAACACAGCCTTGACTTAGTATATTTTCTTATGATTGTCACACACAATCCCTTGAAACCACAATATTGATTATATATTTAAAGCTGGTTCTGATGGAGATATATCACCTGAATTCATTGGTGAGAGGTAGCTTTGTTACTATACTCCCTTTCAATGGTGGATCATAAAAAACCCCATCAACATGATCGCCTTCATCAGGAAGTTTAAGCTTGCGTTTCTTATAAGCCGCGACGACCGCCTGAGCAATGCCCGAAAATACACTCCCTTCGGGTTTCACGTATACATATAATTTTGTTCCAACGAAGAATAAGATGATAGAACATAACATGAGCGCGGTCGGAATCCCGAAACCCCACACCCAACTCACAGAATCTTGGATATAAACCACCGCTGTTAGGGCAATTATAAGTACCACAGTGAATGTGGTGTAGTACCAATTGAAGAAGCTGTTGATGTCCTTCCTTCCTTGATCAGTGGTTGCATCAAACTGGTCCACACCAAAGGGTAGGCTACATGGCCTTATCCCACCTGTGCCTATGGACAACCACCCCAAAGCCATGACCAAAACACCCATTTGAGAAGTTGTGGGGCCCTTGCATCGATGAAGTTGAGATTGCTGAGGAGTGCACTGGGGATGCAGTTGGGGAATCCATGCTATGAGAGTCAGTGTCACCATACCCTGTGACAAGGATCGGTGTTCACATGTTGGGATAAGATGAAATAAAATTACATACTTTAAAAAGTAAATTGAGACAACTTATCGTCAAATTTGAAACAAATGTTAATAATAATAATAATCATTAGTGCATTGTAAAGCTATCGATAAAGTAGAAGCGACTATATGAGATGGGACCAGAATTTGTGGATCAAAGTGTAATTTTTCCTTGCACGTTGAAATTTTATTTTATTGTTTTTGAGTTTATTGAATTTTACCACAACTCTCTCTTTCCTTCTACGTGGCCTGTCAATTAGCAATGGACGTAGACCATACGAAATGGGTCCTTTGAAGAAAAGTACAAAAGATTTCAAAAAAGATCTGAAAGTAACTCCACAGACGAATGAAAGTGGCATTGTTAATGAATTAATAACAAGCCTTCATGGCCTTGTCGATAGGATGAAGAAGAAACATCTGAAAATATATCAAAATTAATTTGATTCCCAAAGAAAAATTATTTTGAAGACAATGGTAAGGCCACGTTGGTTTATTGTTTTCATATTATTCCTAATTTTTATATCAAACCCGAAAAAGGACGAGATTCATATGCATTCAAGGTATGACTTAAAAAAATTAGTTAATCTAACGTAAGATTTATTGGTCATATAGTAAGAACAAATCGAAAACACTTAGATTGATGAAAATTTTGAGGGGATGGGGACATTTATCAAAAATTTTATTGCAGTCCTGAGTTTAAAAGACACGAGACAATTCTTCTTTTTCCCAAAAAAAAAATATAGGATCAATATATTGTGCTTCTTATGTAATTTGGCAGAATCTATGTGCCAAAAACAAAAAAGGGTTAGATGGACTTATTAGGTTTTGCATACATAACTCACTTAGGGGCAAAGTCTTTGCTACTGAAAAAATCTTTTTGGTATCGTACTGTTGTCGGTTATAATTTTTTATGATAAAGCTACACCTTTGAAATGAAAAGTTACTACTATTCAAAGAAAGATTATGATCGATCGTGAATACCCATAATCGATCATGGGCTTTTGGTATCAATCTCAACTTTTCATGATCGATGATGCCCTTTAAAATTATAGCTTACACTTTAACAAAGTTGCAACTTAGTCTTAAAAAATAGGAAAATTCGAATCTTTTGATTAGAAGATTTTACCTAAAACGCATAATTAGTCGGACTTAATTCCCATTCTTATTTCACCAACTTTTTTCTTTATTATTATCTTTTGGAATAAAAAATCCCTTTCTTAATTGTTGGTAATTTATGATTTCTTCTAGAATTTAGTGAGTAAACGCATAATAGTGCAACATCATTTGTATATATTTTTTGATTTATCAATGGGCCTTTGATCTAATAGTATTCTATACTTTGTGAAAATTTTATCTTTTTGAGGTCAAGGGTTCAAGCCTCATTTTTTCTTCTCTCTCCCCAAATATATATATATTTTTTATTTTTTTTTTCATTTTTCTATCAATAAAAGTTTTCCTTAAATATAACTTATGCAATCCACACAGGTAACTTAGCGGTGTGAGATTGAATTTGGCCGAATAGTAGACCTTAACGACGTCAAGAGTTCGATCATCTCTGATGTCTTTTAGGCTTAACTGATACATGTGAATTTGCCACTAATTAAAGGTATTTAGAATTTATTCTCGCAGGAACTAAAATAACTCTACCTTTGAGAGGTTAATCATTAACAAATATATATATATATATAACTTATGCATGCATTGAAACGTGTGCAAGGGATAAAACAAAATGGCCAAAAAAAAATCCCAAAAAATGAATTTTGTTTTTTTTGGTGGGGTCAATAAAGAAGAAAAAAATATTAATAATAAACCATGGAAGTTGATCAAATCAATGAGCATATAGAGAAATTGGAAGAGGGGAACATACCAGAAGTGAAGCAAAAGAAGAGACAGCAATGGTCAAGAACCTGCCCACATAAGCATCAGAGATGAAAGCACCGAGCAAAGGTGCAAAGTTTGTAACACCAGACCACATGTTAATCACGTTCGAAGCAGATACTTGGTCCATGTGAAACTGTGTCATCAAGAACATCATGAAGTTTGCTAGCAGCCCCACAGTTGCCAACCTCTCAAACGTTTCATTTCCTACAGAAGCAAGCAACATATACACCACATTATATATAAACAAAAAGACATGCTTCCACACGCAAATATCGATGCAAAACGTACTAAGATGCATCGATTCTGGTATCGTAAAATAGTATCAGATGATATATATGGTTACATAGAAAAAAAAATTATAACCGATGAAAGATTCAAATCATATCATAGTGTGTGGAACACTATCAGTAACTTCAGTGGCAAAGAGAAGATGTCGAGTCGGATTACCTCTACCAAGTTTTATTATATCGATTGATACTTTGAAGTTTGAACTATAGAACAAATTTGTTTCTATGCTGCCGTCACTGTGAACCACACACACACATAGAGGAGAGAGAGAGAGAGAGACCTAAGACGAGAGGCATGGACTTCCATCCACCAGGCTTTCTCTGGTTCTTCTTGGAATTTGTTGAAACCCTGTCAACTTTTTCATCGTACTCTTCATTTTCTGGCGACGGCAACGATAAGGACGACCTAGAAGAAGAGATGGGGAGGCATTTAGACCAGCAAGCAGGCCATGAAGGCCTTAACTTCTTCTCATCCCCTAACACCATCTTTTTCTGAACTTGAACTGACAAACTGTACCTAATGCCTAATACTTAGTACCTAGTAATATCTCCTAAGACATATAACAATGTTGTTCACATTAAGTCTGTATATATAGAGAGAGAACAGTGTGTGTGAGAGAGAGACAGGAGGGGAGGGGGTGTATTATTGAATGATGACGTAACTTTTTTTTTTTGAGAGGTTTTGGAGACTGAAAAATTCTAATAGTAAATTTGGCAGGAGAGATGAAAAAATGGGGGATAGAAGAATAGAGATGATAGAGTTTTTCACTCTCAGAGAAAGGAAGGAAGGAAAAATATTTGTCCTCCTTGTTTCCTTCTTGTTTGGTTGGAAGAATAAAAAAGTGGAATATATGTATTTTATATTATTTTATTAAGAAAATCATAAAGTAATATTATATGTTAAATACAATAACTAACCTTAAGTAAAAAAAAAATGGCGTGTGGATCCCACCATGAATTTCTTTTTTAAACCATGGTCAACAAGCAGTTGCTGGGAGGGTAAAATAATAAATTTTCCAATTAGTTCATTTTCTCTCTCCAATTGCCCGACATCGGATAGATTAGATTTGGTAGGACCCGGGGGGAGGATGCACATTCCCTTGCCTTTTCTTTCTTTTCCATTTTCCATTTTCCCTTTTCAATCAAACAAAGAAAAACACTGCTTTTCCTCCTCTTTTCCATTCATGCATTTTCTTTCATATCAAACAGAAGTTAAGGAAAGTCTCGACTGTCTAAGAAAACTAATAGTGGACAAGAGAAACGGACGGCACTCGTTCGATTTACAAAAACTAGATTGTTGAGTTGTTTTAACTGTTTAGTTAAATTGGGATTTGACTATAGTTTGAATTGTGCTTTAAGGGCATTTTGAGTTTTCCTCATGGACGCCTTTTAGTGGAGTTTATCTAGCAAGTGAGTAGAGATAGAAGTGGAACGGAAAAAATGGGTATTCGTCCAAATTACTTTTTTTTAATTGAGGACGGATTATACGTATTGAATTGTGGATATATATAGAGATATTCGCATAAAATCTTGCGGGGATAGACTGAAACTCATTCCTACCCCACCTCCGCTCTACTCCTCCCCTCCCCATCTCAGTAAACCTATAAATATATATATATATATATATATATATATATATATATATATATATATATACTAGCAATTGCTCGTACTTAAAGGGACGATGTTACTTATAAATTAGTTACAAATATTTGTCCATATATAAATGTAAAGTAAAATACAACATTATAGTAAATGACGAACAAATGAATCCACTAATATTTTTTATAACATTAACCTACATGTATAACATATATTTCCAAATTAAATTGTTATGTCACGAAAATTATGTTATAACTATTAAAATATAATAATTCAAAATTTTGAAAAAATATATCAATTAACAATATTCAATGTTTTATTTTTTATTTTTATTCAAAATCCACAATTTTAACATTCATAATCAATTTTATCTAAATAATAACATAATTTATAACTAATAGAATGAAAATTAAAACAATACTCCCACAAATAAACTAAATCTACGGATGTTGTCAAATGACTAAATATAACTATCAGAAATTCAATTGACTTCTAAAAGATACGACTTGACTATTGAATTTGTATGATTTGAGTTTTATAGTAGTACTTTTAATTTTATATCTTTCTTCTCGGTTATTTATATTCTTAGTATATTTTCTTAAACTAAATGTTATTTAGTATTTGATTATTTAGTAAAGATTGTTGCTTCATATTGTTCACTAAATATTGAATTTGTATGATTCGTGTTCATAGTATTACTTATAATTTTGTATCGTTTCTCTTGTTTGTAATTTTATATATTTTTTTCAGATATTTAGATTTGAATTATTTAATAAATATTATTACTTTGTGTTGTTCACTAAATATTGAATTTATATGATTCATATTTGTATATGAATTTTATCTTGTATATTTTAAATGTTAAGTATATTTTCTTTAATATATATCTTGATATTTGAGTTTTCCAATAATTTGAATTTCTGTTTGTATATTTTACATGTTAAGTATATTTTCTTTGTTAAATTAGATTTTTGGTAAGTTATTTTTTTTATTGATTATGGAAAAAAACAAAATTGACTATTGAATTTGTATGATTCGAGTTTATAGTGGTGCTTTTAATTTTATATCATTCTTCTCGGTTATTTATATTCTTAGTATTTTTTTTTAAACTAAACATTATTTAGTATTGGATTATTTAGTAAAGATTGTTGTTTCGTGTTGTTCACTAAATACTAAATTTGTATGATTCATGTTTATAATATTGCTTATAATTTTGTATTGTTTCTTTTGCTTGTAATTTTGTATCATTTTTCTTGTGTATTTGGATTTGAATTATTTAATAAATACTGTTACTTTGTGTTGTTCACTAAATATTGAATTTGTATGATTTGTGTTTGTATATGAATTTAATCTTGTATATTTTAAATGTTAAGAATATTTTCTTTAATATATATCTTGATATCTGAGTTGCCCAATAATTTGAATTTAATCTTGTATATTTTACATGTTATGCATATTTTCTTTGTTAAATTAGATTTTTTGCAAGTTATGTTTTTTTTTTATTGATTATAGAAAAAATAAAATTGACTATTGAATTTGTATGATATATACTATTGTATGAATATTTTCGTGATATATACTATCTATCTAATATTTATTACTATTGTATGAATATTTTTGTGATATATACTATCCATTTAATACTTAATACATAATTTTCTTTCAAAGAGCAATACAGAGAAATATTTTCATAATAAATTATCTCTCTTTGTGATATATATTATTTATCTATAGAGAGATGTCGTATTTGTTTGAATCAGACACTATCTAATATTTTTGTGATATTTTTATGAGATATAGAGAGAGATACAAAAAAAAAATATTGTAAAAAATTAATATTTTTTGCGTGAATTGAGCGTGAGAGTGAGAGGGAGAGAGAGAGAGAGATATGTAGAGGAATGAGAGAGAAATTTGCTTAATTTAAAGAAAAGATTTGGGGGAATTAAATTTTGAAATATCAATTTTAGAAACTATAAAATTTGAGCAGCAAAAATATTTCAAAAGAGTTAATGTGGTACGTCGAATCAAAGTGATTTGAGACGTCAATAGTTCGAGACAGTTTGGGATAACGTCGTTCATTAGATGATGCATTTTTTTGTCACAAAACGATCTAGACCACTCTTTGTCTCTAAAATTCAAATTCGTCCTACTTTATCATATATATATATAATCAATAAAATAATTAAGTGAAACACACATTTATTATACATATTATTTTTTGAATTTTTATGTTTGATTCATTTGTTATATATTGAGTTTTCATCCTTCTTATAAATCTATTTGTGAGATTTTATGATTTTTTTTTATAATTTTTTTTAAAATTATAAAAATTAATTGTTATGTACGGAGATGAGAATGGAGATTAAATTTTTGTCGGTGACAATGGTGAACTTTTTTAAACAAGTACACGCTGAAGACTATTCTCCCCTTTTTGCCTCGGTCTCCTGTTATCCCTGGGCGAGGGTTGCTATGATCGGGCGTTCCCTCCATCAATCAATCTATCTTTCACATGAAAAAAACAAAAAAATGAAACCAAATTTCGTGGTTGCTAAGGTGACACTTGCCCTATCGATCTATCTATTTTAACATAACAAAACAAAACAAAACAAAAAATTAGACGACTCAAATTACGTGTTCATACCATTGTGGTCAACGTTACTGTGGACCCATATATCGTAAGATTTAATCCTGATTGGATCTTCATCTTCGAAACCTTATCATATTTGTACAATTGCATGTTCATGTTGTCAGAAGCATACAAATCATGCCCAGGATAATTTGATGTGAATTTAATGGCCATTAATAATTTCTACGAGTACTGTCTTAATTGTACCCATAATAAATCTTCTAGTGAAAACCCGAAAAAGCCCCTGAAACCTTTTTGGAATAACGCCTGTAAAGTAATCTAGAATCTATATTTATATCTATATATTACTAATAAAAGTATTTTAATATAAAACAAAAGTTGATTTTCCGTATTTATCTTTATCTAAATTAAATCTCCTCTCAAACCTCTAACTTCTCTTTTAATTATTTATTCTCTATATAAATATCAATTTCTATGAAACTTTTTGATTGACTATATATTATCTTTTAAAAATATGCATCATTATATTTTCAATAAAGTGTTCAAAAACTTATAAATCTAATATTACTCATCTCATATGCAAAGATAACATTATCCGCATATATGTTTTTTTTTTTCATTTAAAAAGTTTAACCCTATTATTTCTAAGATAAAAAATAATTATATATATATAAGTTTTTAAAATTAATTTATGCTACATTAATATAATTTTTTAGTTTACAGTAAACTTTTTAAATTGTATTAAAATTTTATGTGAAAATAGTTTGCAGTTTATTCTTAAGTAAAACTTGAATTTTTTAAAATTTTGATATGTTTTAAAATATATATTATAGAGTATTATATTAAATTTTATTCTAATTGATCTAACTAATTCTTAATTACATTAAAGTTTCAATATAATTAAATAGTATATTGACAATTACTTTTTATTTTATTCAATAAATTATAAGTGAAATTCTAATCGAATGAATTTCAAAAAATTTAATTTCTCACACATTACTAAAAAAAAATAGAACTTTAACTATTTTTTTTTATCTTTTTTCTTATAGTTAGAATAACAAATTTGAAAAATATACTAAGTTTTCATAATTTTATAATAGAATATAAGTAAAAAAAAATAAAATCTGATAAATTTGAGATAATATTTAATTTCAATACACATATACTAATATATTATATCAATTTTTATGTACAAAAATTATTCACTTGCGTTACATTCAAATGATTAGAGGTGGAGAATGAAGTCAAAATCAGCTCATAACTGAGTTCGGTGATTCTCGTTTTAGGCAGAAAGAAGGATCAAATCATGGGTGAGATTTACTCTATTGAATATACAACAGGACATAATGGAACCTACAATTAACCTAACAAATTCTAGTAGCAGGTAATTGGGTCTGCCTTTTGATAATTCAAATGTTTAATTC